GGAAGGAAGGAAGGAAGGAAGGAAGAAAGAAAGGAAGAAAGAAAGAAAGAAAAGAAAGGGAAGTTACTAGAATGACTTATAGGCTGTGGTCCTGCTAATCCAAAAATGCCTGGCTATGAACAGAAAGTCCAATATCTAATAGTTGCTCAGTCCATAAGGCTGGATGTCTCAGCTGGTCTTCAGTATATGCCAGAATCCTGAAGAAATAGACCCTAATGCTAATGAAGGAATGGACTTGCTAGCAAGGTGAGGACAAGCAGGCAAAGATCAAAAGCTTCCTTCTCCCATGTCCTTCTATAGGCCTCCAGAAAGTGTGGCCCAGATTAGAGGTTGGTCTTTATACCTCAAAGATATGGATTAGAAGTGGATCTTCCCACTTCAAATTAAACAAAAATGCCTCTCAAAAGTGCCCTCCATTTTTGAGTTTTAGTTAACTCTAGATGTAGTCAAGTTACCACAGTATCAAAAGTACTAACCAGGCCCAATACTGCTCAGCTTCTGGATCAGACAGGATCAGATGAGTACTATGGCCATGATTCCTGATGCACTTTCTAAAGGTACAAACCCAAGAATTGTAAGGGAATCACTTTTCAGACTTTCAGCTTCCTTGCACATTGTTTCCTAAACCTGACCTCAGACTTGTCTGCCATGAATTTCCTTCCCTATGTCCCTTTTCATAATGACTCTGTGAAGCAAAGGTGCCTTATAAGGACAAACAACAATAAAACACTTCCATCCATTTTTTAACCTTACCCTGAATACACCGCCCCAAAGTGTAAAATATCTATAAAGTAACAAAATGGACAAAAATAATAACAAAAGGATAATATTCCTCTCTTTTTAAAAGAAAGTTCTATTTAAAAAAATCCCCTTTCCTGCTTAGAAATAAATTCCCAATACAAACTCACCTTTTAAATCTATGAACAGTTACCATTAAAGCTTATTGCTATTGGTGGTTAATAAAAGCATCCCATATCCTGTTTTTATTATACACGTAGACAGCACATCTGGGGTGGGAGTGGGGTGCGGATGGGGTGAGCAGTAAGAAACTCTCCTCAATAGTGGGATAAAAGCATGAGGAGGTAGAATGGAAATTCAGACTCAAGCAGGAAGTTATATCATTGTAAAAGAGTCTTGTTTTTATTTTGGAGACAGGGTCTCATGGAGCCTCGACTGGCTTCGACTTGATACCTGGCCACCTCCCAAGTGCCAGCTGGATTATAGGTTTATGCCACCACACCACATTGGTGAGGCACAGAGTATTCAATCCAGAGCCAGGTGAAAATTAGGCAAGCATTCTACCAACTGAGCTATACTCCCAGTCTCAAAAACCTTTCTTCTTTTAAAGGAATAATAGTATATATTAAATCTTTACAGTACTTACATTTCATTAGATTTCATTTTCTCTGTGTGTAGCCTACACTGGTCTCGAACTCAAAGAGATCCACTTGCTTTTGCCTTAACGAGAAGGCGTGGGCCACCATATCCATGTCAAGCCCCATTAGGTAAGTTTCAAAGAATGTTTTAACATTTTAAATTACAAATATAAAGATTATACAATAAGTCAGACATTATGTTCTGTGCAACTATTTAAGCTTATAATGAAACAAAAATTAGAAAACTTCATTTAAATTGCCTGAGAGTGTCGTGCAGTGGTATAGTGTACAAACGCAAAAATATGTATAAATATGTAAAGGCTCAAACTCCAAAATCCAAGGAAGGAAAAATTGCTAGTTAGCTGGAGAGGGACGACAACCTCTGACGAAGTAAACCATCCAGTATCATTAAGATATCCTTGCTAAACCCAAGCCTGACAACGCTTTGTGACCAATCACCTCTGCTTTTCCGACCCACTTCAGCGTTTTCCAGTGAGTGGCAGCCCGCCCCTGGGACACCCTGGGTGATCTCCCTCCACACCCCGGCGCCTCCCTCCCGCAGCTCTCCCGCGCACGCGCAATGCCACCCTTCCCACGCGCGGCTGCTGTGTCATGGCTGAGCGGAAGTCCGTGCCTCAGAAGGAAGAGGCCGCCCTAGGGCGCAGGGCACTAGCTTCCTCCCGGCCCTCCCACAGCCCCGTCCCGGCCTCCCGGGGTCGGGATGTACCCTGCACTCTCCCGAACACTTCGTAGTCCACAGACTTGAGCGGCTCCGCCATGGCGGCCAGCCTTCTCGCGAGCAAGCGGAGCGGGGTGTGCGGCGCGGGGGCGGCGGCGGCGCGGAGGAGGCTCCTGGGCGCGGGGGCGGCGGCGGCGCGGGTCCCCGGCGGCGGCGGCCGGGACGCCAGCGCCGGGTCACGCGTCGGAAGCCGCACAGGACGGCGGCCCGCAGTGAGGCTCGCAGGCAGGCTGCGCCCCGCACGGTCCCCAGGACCCGGTTCTCTAGGTTGCCCAAGGTCGGGCCTGCGAGGGGATTAAACCAAACTAACATATTCATCTACCCACTGACGTTTATTTGACACACAAAACAGGTTTTTTTGTTGTTTTTTTTCTTTTGTTAAGGATGAAACTAAGAGGGGACTTGTTGGGAGGAGGAAGGGGTAGAGCCAGAGTGGGCAGGGGGAGAGAGGGTAGATAACAGGAGATAAAAATTACCAAAATTCATTATATACAAGAATAAAATGTCAAAGAATTTTTCTAAGTTTTAGGTGTTTTTGTATAGGTATACTGTAAAGAGATTAATTCAAGTTAATTAACATTCATCTCACATCTGATTTCATTTAAGATCTCAACAATTTCAAATATGTATTTGTCAATCTTAAGTATGCTCTGTAAATGTGTTCTCCACTTGATATGAACCAGTTTTGTGCCCTTGAAACAATATCCCCATTTCCAGCCCCTCAATGACTCCCGGGACTTGCATTTGAAATGAAGGCCCTGCGTAAGCCTAGTGGCACAGGGTATTAGGTCAGAGGATTAATTCCGAAATGTTTTGGCAACTGCCGAATCCACGGTGATTATGAACTAAACTATAAGTTAAGGTTGAGCTTTATAGTCAATCTGCTGATTAAAAAAAGCTTGTACCTGAATCCCTATTCTACATAGATGTCTAGAAGGAGAAATTTTAATAATTTTGTCTCATGCTAATAGGAACAAACGCTTACAGACATCTTGTCTGTTGTCATACAGTTTTATATGTTTTGTAGTTTTGTTTTCATGGTCTTGATTACTGGTCAGTGACATTTCAGTTGCCTAGGGCATTTTAGACAGTTTATATTTAGAAAATTATATTTCTGGTGAGGTATTTAAGGTCTTACCTTATACTAGCCCATCACTCCAAAAAATCAGGATAAAACTTTTGATAACCTGATTTCTAAACTTCAAATTCTTTTATATGTGATAATTTCCATGTCTCAGTTTATTTGTTGGCCTCGATACCTTTACACATTTTTTTTTTCATCTTTCCGAAAAAAAGACTCTACTACAACTTGATTAAATACTGTGTGCTAATTCTGTCTGGGAACCCACACACAAAACTCAGGGCCAGGTGTGGTGGCATACTCCTTTAATCCCAATACTGGAGAGGTAGAGGCTGGCTGATCTCTTGTGAGTATGAGATCAGCCTGGTTCCAGGCCAGCTAAGACTATGTGGTGAGACTCTATAACAAAGTAAGTACTCTGAAACTTGGGCAGAGTGTGATCAAATCAGTAAGACATGTTCTAGAAGTGCTAGTCTGGATCAATTTACCTAATGAAGGTAATTATTCTTGGTATTGCAGATTTAACTCCTTCCTCTTATCTCCCAAGTCACTTCTTGATCTCTGGAACCTACTTGACCTGGGATACCTCCAGGCACCCCACATCTTGTAAGATTGTGTCCTCCCCATCAATGCATCCTCCCCATAGTTCTGTGTCTTAAAAATCTTTGACTGGGAAGGCTGACATTTTCCTTTTCCTAGTCAACCCTTGACTTTTCTCCACATTTACCCAGGAATACCTCCGCCAGTTATTAGGTAGCTCCGTTTTAACTTTAGAAGTGTTATAGCAGCAATTGACATTTGCTTTGCTAAAAATGTATTGTGTCTGCCAACAGCTGAACATTAGTAAATGGAAATGTTTATGTACCAATTCAGCATGGATTGCTAATAAAATGTGGCTCTAAGACTTTAGAATTGTAAACAAGTGTTTTTAATATTAAGTAATTTTAAATAGAGATCTAGAAAAATTTAGAAAATTTTAAAAAATCAATCACCCATAATCTTAACACAATTGATATTATTTTTACTGTTTTCTCTCTTTCCCTCTCTATATATAGATATGTGTGTGCATATATGTATGTGTGTATACATATGTATGTATGTGTGTTCATGTATATATATATTTAAATACAGCATATATTCAACTACAACATTAATATAAAATATACATGCTTTAAGTATGAATTAAATTTTTGTTGTCTTTTCCAAGTCATAGTATTTCTAATAAATATTTTAATTCATTATATTATATGTATATTATATAATATTTTAATTTAATCTGTTATTGCACATTCAGGCTGCTTCTTATTTTTCACCATCATAAAAAATATAGTAAAGGAAATATGTATATGGCTTCCCTCATTTTTATAAGGTAGTCAGAAGACAGGTCTCATTGTGTAGCCACCAAAGGATCATCAATCAGTTCCCTAGATGACCCAGTTCTACAGTGAAGGTTGACTTGGCATGTCTGCAGTGGGTTCCAGAACTTCATTTCAGATGCTTGTGGCATGAATAAAGCTTAGACTGGGAGGAAGTGACCTAGAGCCTCTCTCCTTAGCCCCTTCAACAACTCCATTAGCCACTTAATACTAAATGCTAAAATGCTAAATCATTTCTTCTGAGTACCTCTTTTCCCCCCTGTAATTTAAACTCTGACCAGTACAATGCTTGGGAGCAAAAACAAAAACATTACAATAGGAGTAGATCTAAAATTAAAAAGAACGGAAATTCAAATATTAAGCATTAAGGATTTTAGTACTTATAAAGAGGTAAAATATAGACTATGGGGAAAAAAATCTAAAAGCTAGGCATGGTGGCACATGCCTATAATCCCAGCACTCTGAAGAAAGAAAATCAGGAGTTTGAGGCCAACCTGGGTTTTGTAGCCAGACCTTGAGATGGAGATTAGAGAGGAGAGAAAATAATAATAAAACTAACCCTCAACCTTTTGATAATTTGTTGAAATATTATGAGACAAGGGCTTATGTAGCCCATGTTCTGTTAATTAGCTGCATCCTGCTTATTTGTATTTATTGTCTACCCGATTTGCAGATATCCTGTTTTATTTTTATAAATTAATGAAACAATAACATTAAAAAGAACCCTCTGGCTGGGTGTGGTTGTACATGCCTATAACCCCTGAATTAGGGAGCGTGAGGCAGGAATAACACTGCAAGTTTGAGGATAGTCTGTATTAAATGAATTCCTGTCTGAAAACCTAAAACCAAAGAAACCGAAGAATTTTTCCAGAGTGCTGCTTAGTTATAAAGCATTATTTCTGGTCTCTTGCTGCCACCTACCAACTGCTCAAGGCCAGGCAGGCTATGAGCATAGGATGACTGCTTCAGAAATGCTAGCAGGACCTACATTGACTCTCATTTCAAAGTCAATCTTCTGAACTAGATGTACCCATACTAAACCCTTAAATGAGAAACACGTTTAAATACTGTTAGGATTTTTCACTCAATAAGTGGCTTAAATATAAGAGAAACTTGACCATGAATTATTATTAGATATGGGCATTATAGAAAAAAAAAGTTAAGGAAATTCATTTAGTAAATTCTGGTTGACTCCCACTATATGAGACATTATACTGAAAATATATTTATACTATACCCTTTAAGATGTTTTTAATTGGGCCGGAGAGACGGTTCAGAGGCTAAGAACACTGGCTGTTCTTCCAGAGGTCCTGAGTTCAATACCCAGCATCCACATGGTGACTCATGACCATCCAAAATGAGATCTGGTGCCCTCTTATGGCATGCAGTCATACATGCAGGCAGAACATTGTATACATAATAAATATTTTTTTTTTTTTTTTTGAGACAGGGTTTCTCTGTGTAGTTTTAGTGCCTGTCCTGGATCTCGCTCTGTAGATCAGGCTGGCCTCAGACTCACAAAGATCCACCTGGCTCTGCCTCCCGAGTACTGGGGTTAAAGGCGTGCACCACCGCCACCTGGCATAAATAAATAAATCTTTAAAAGACAAAAAGAAGATATTTTTAATTACATTTATTTATTTATTTGGGAGGTATACACATTCTACAATGTTCCTGTAGAAATCAAAGCACAAATTTTGGTCATTGGTTATCTCCTACCATGTGGGTCCCAGGGACTGAAATAGTCATCAGATTTGGTGGCAACTGAGTTTATCTGATGAGCCATATAAAGATATTGTAGCCATTAAAATTAGTCTTTGTGAAAGCAATGTGTTTCAGGGGCATTTGTTATATAAGTAAGAGTTAACTTGAGCATGGGAAACATTTTGCAAAATTTCATCTGTAACTATTTACCTTTCAGTTATAAAACCTTATGTCAGGAAGATTGGCAGTGACAACAATGAGGTATTGCATCAATCATGTAGAACTTTGTCAGGTCCCAAAGAAACCTGGGACAAGTCTTACCTGTGGCTTCTCCCAGCACTTCCCATCCTGCCTCCTGCTCTGAACATCTCCAGCCCAGGGACTAGGCTATGCTTCCCTTCCCCTAGGCTTCTCTTTCATATATAATCCAGCCATTTCAGCCTATGCACTCTCTTCGCCTCTTGGTTCTTCTGTCTTTCTGGGTTTCTTGGTCCTTTGCTCTTTGCTCCTGGTCCCCTGTATCTTCTCTTCCTCTCTCATTCACCCCATGTCTCTCAGGCCCTGCTCAGTCTGGACCCTTTCAGATGCCTCTGGCTGTTGTTTTCTCCCTCATATCTACAATAAAACCCTTCCCTCTCAATCATACCTTGCAGTAGTCATGTCCTCATTTTCATTCAAACTTAAGGCATAGTTTTCTCCCATTTAATCTGTTTTACAGAAACTATATTGACTAAGTAAGGCAAGCACTACTTATTCTAGATCACCAGAAACAAAATCTTACCCAGAACCTGACCTTTTGAGGCAAAACTCACCTTCAAATGGTCTTTCCTTCACTTGTTAGCAAGTATTTATGGTAAGATGAATGTGTGCCATTAAGTGGGTGCTGGGGAGAAGGTAATGTCCTATTTAGAGATTGGAGGTATGTTAGGGTGAGTGTTGAGCAAGTCTGAGAACATAATCTCT